TAATAATATCTTCCAGCAAAAGAGAGATGGTCTCTTTTTCAGACGGCCAGTGCTAGTGAAGAATAACTCTGACCCTTGAGCAATGCTTCCTAGTCTTGAGTCCAGATCGCCTTCCTTGCCCCTGCTATCCCTGGTTTGGGTCTTACCTTCCAAAACGGGAAACAACAACAACAACAACAACAACAACAACAACAACAACAACAACAACCCTGCCCCACCTTCAGCAGGGCAGCCTGACCCATCTCGAGGACCTTTTTAACCTTGGGAAGTCTGCCCACGGAGGTCAGAGAGTGGGGCTCGCCCCACGACGTTATCTGGAATTCCAGCTTAATCATAATGACATGCCATTTCATCAGTCCTGACTTAGGGCAACCCTTTTCAGAGTTTTCTAGGCAGAGAAGCCTCAGAAGTGGTGGACCCTTGCCTTCCTCCGTGGTTGGCCTGGGGCTACCATGCAGCTGGCCCAAGGCCACCCAGTCCGGCTCTACTTCATAGCCGACCCAGTGAGGAATTGACCTCTGGTTCCATAGACAGACACCTAAACCACTGAGCTGTCCAGGAATGCCAGCTCAGTCTCAGGTGAAATGATGCTCTCCCTACATTCTAGAACAACAAATGACTTCAAACAGGATGCACAGGCAGCTTGTTTTAGTTTGTTCACTGTGAAGGCAGGTGGAGAAGGCTTTCTGTCTACCCGGGTGGCCGCTCGGAGCAGCAGGGAAGGAGAAAGGTCAAACCCGTAGCAACTCAAGCTGAGTCACGACAGGCAACCTCCTCCGTGGGCATCAGGTTCAACAAAAGCGGTTCTCTTGGGGCCGATGGCTCAGAAGGACAGCCGGACCCCTGCCAGGGGACGTGGGAGGCAAAGAGGTGATCTGCAGAAGAAGGCAGCGCCTAACCCCATGGACTTCCTCTTTCCTTCCGCCCTCCTCCTCCTCCTCCTCCTCCAAGTGCTGTCCTCCTCCTCCTCCTCCTCCTCCTCCAAGTGCCACTTGGAAACTCCCAGCAGGTAGCGTTTAATTGTTCCCATCCTTTTTTTTGGCACCCGGGCAATTCTCTCCAGGTGCTCTGTTTGGGATGCTCTGATGCCCACTGGAATCTAAAACCCAGTGGTGAGAAAAACAAGAAGAGGTGAGATCCAAGCATCCAGGTGCTCTGTTTGGGATGCTCTGATGCCCACTGGAATCTAAAACCCAGTGGCGAGAAAAACAAGAAGAGGTGAGATCCGAGCAAAGGAGCGCTGGCAGCAGGATATGGCCAACATGCCTCGGGGGGGGGGGAATGTTTTGAAGAAGTTCTGCTTTCTGGTACGAATCTAGAGCCTAAGGAGCATCACTAAGAAAGAAGCAGGGAGCAACACTTCCAGAGCCAGGATCCCCGGATGGGATGCAAAAAGGTCCCCATCAGGCTGGCTCTGTTTCAAATCTGTGATTTGTCTAAATTTGGCGCATCGCCCTAGTTCTTAGCACTATAGTACTATATTAGCAAAAGAAGCCTCCAGACTCAGGAGAAGCATGTCTCCCGACTGCCAGCGAGAATATAGAAGGCTGTTGTGTTCATGCTTTGCTTAGAGGAAGTGCCTTTCTTTATTCATAAATTTCACTTCCTGAATGGAAGGCAAGCGGAAGTGAAAAAGATGGGGCCAGCTCCCATACACAACGTATGAATACAGCTTCCTTCTATATTCTAGTTGGCAGTCAAGAGATATACTACTCCTGAGGCTGGAGGCTTTATTTACTAATACAGTCCCATAGCATTAGTAACTAGGGCTTGGAACCAAATCCAGATAACTCCACGCCTTCCAAATAGAACCAGCCTGATCGGGGACCTGTTTGCATCCCATCCGGACTGAAACAGAATGACAATATTTGGTTCATCCTTCCTGGTTTCCTTGTCCGTCAGCAATTCAGGGATTTACCAACCTTTTATGGATGCACTTGTGACATCTTAATTGTATCCTTCGTTTAATGATTAATTCTGGAGGATTGCCGGTCTCACTTGGCCAAGAAGATAAAGAGTTAAGCAGCAAGCGCTTTGCAGCTGTACAGATTATAATCTGGGCCCCCGAATTTGCTGACACACCAGGCGGGAGTTGAGGGAGAGGAGGGCCAGATTCATCCTTCCGTGGCATAAGGGCTTCTACAGTGGCTGTCCTCTGTGCCCCTTTAACAAAGAGAAAGCCCCACAGAACACAAGCGGATTTGCTGTGAGAGTCGAGATAGGGAGAAAACAAGAGAGAATAAAGTAAAATAAACAGACCGTGCGGTTAGAGGTAACAGGTGCCCGAGGATGCTCGTGTACCAGGGCTGGAGCCAGGCCATTCCACTCCCAAAAGTTTAACATCCACCCAGGCCCAAATCATGGCCAACAGGAAGCATGTTGGAAACACATGCACACAAAACTCAATAGCCTTTAATGTATGAAAAGACTCCTTTCCTGGCTTTGTTTTTGCCACAACAGAATAACTGGCTCCTCCTAACCCTGGGACCGTCTTGAATTTTCAAAAGCTTCCCCAGAATTCTGGAGTGGGGTAGTATCTTCATTGCAATGAATAATTACAATTACTGTATAATTGTGTGCTGGCCATTCTCACTGACAGCGACCCTTTCCAAGGTTTTCCAGTGAGAGAATAGAAGTGATCTTCCCTTCCCTGCATCGTGGTGTGCAGCCTACTCTTTGCCATCATCCTCTTAGACCCACTGAGCTGGAAGGGACCCTAAGGGGCTCACGGAGACCAGACCCTGTCAAGGAGCCCCCCCCGGGGGCGGGGAATCGAACTCCCAACCTCCAGCTCCCTAGCCCCGAATCCTCAACCCCTGAACGATCCTTTTTGCAAGACTTTGCAAAACTCCAGCCTCTCTAGAGAAGACATTCTTTGTGCTGAGTTTTTTTTAAATGGCTCCTTCTGTGTGTTCCCTGTAAACATGAAAAAGGCATTGAACTGCATCGCTTTGAGATAACTCGGAGTGGAATGGAGCACCGAGATTAACTGAGTGCTGAGAGCGAAATCCAGAGGATTAAGGAAAGGAAGTTGGACTTTTGAAAACAGCCCCATGGCAGAGGAGAGCTTTCAAGAGAGTTTTTGGATACTGGCAGAATTTGGTGTCTTTAGCGCTTAAGGTTGTGTTTTTAAATTGATATAAGTGGTCTTCCATCCCTCCCCTTTTTTTGGAGAATGGCAAGGTAAAAATATTTTAAATACTGTGCATAAATAAAATGAATGAATGAATCACGGAAGTCACATTGGGGCTATTTAGGTGATTAAATTAGGACGATGGATTCAAGACGGTGGCCCCGTCCTCCCACGAAAACCTGTCACAAAAAGGCAGAATGCATGGGGAGAAAAGCAGAACGGCAAGGTAAAAATATTTTAAATACATAAATAAAGTGAATGAATGAATCATGGAAGTCACATTGAGGCTATTTGGGTGATTAGATTAGGACGACGGATTCAAGACGGTGGCCCCGTCCTCCTGCGAAAACCTGGTTTTTGCTTACACTGCCACAAAAAGACAGAATGCATGGGCAGAAAAGAAGTCAAAACAGAATACTGCCTGGAAGATCCATTTCGATCCAAATGCAGGACTAGAATGATAACTTTCCCTTTAGGGGAACTCAGCTCCAGTTTTCCATAGAGAAAGGAAACCTAGAATGAGTTCTACACTTACGGTTTCCAACCTGTCGTCTTCTGGAGGGAATCAATGCCTTTTAATGGAAGGACCCTGTCCAACCATCTCATCCTCTGTCGTCCCCTTCTCCTCTTACCGTCACACTTTCCCAAAGACCCTGATGTTGGGAAAGTGCGAAGGCAAGAGGAGAAGGGGATGACAGAGGACGAGATGGCTGGACAGGGTCATTGAAGCGACCAACATGAATTTGACCCAACTCCGGGAGGCAGTGGAAGACAGGAGGGCCTGGCGTGCTCTGGTCCATGGGGTCACAAAGAGTCCGACACAAAGAGTCAGACACAACTTAACGACTAAACAACAACAACAAAGGAAGGAATGATTCCTTAGTGTTTAGGTTATATTCACTCTTTTCTTTGTTTTAAAAATGACCCTGTTGGATTGACTTTATCTACATCCTTTTGGGAACCATACCTATTCCTCCTCATTGACTTAGGTTTTCATTCAATGCAGGTCATGGCGAGAGAAGATCTAATGGGACAATGACGGAAGGGCACATGAAGGAACTTTTGTAGTCAAGGTCGTCATCCTGCTTCTTCTTCTGCTGGAGGTGGTGGTACTGGTTCATGGCTCTTGACCGCTCCCTTGCCGGCTTGGAGCTCCAGGTCTTCGGGAGAGCCACGCTGAAAACCCCGAGGCTCCAACGTGGCTCGGCCGCCTTCCTTCTCCTGGGCTCACCATGGGAGGATGTTTCTCTAAACCCAAGCCAGGTGAACCACTTCGGGCCACTCCCGTTGCCCCGCGTCGCTGCTTCTGGGGGGCCGAGCGGTGGGCTAAAAACTAGGTCAGGCGAGCGGAAAGGGACTCCGCAGAGGGAGCTGTGGAGAATTTTAATGCTCCCTGCTTTTGGCGCAGAGGAGATTAGGAAGGCGGTTGGTTAATCCTTCCGAAAAAAACTTCATGTCACGCGAGCACAATGCATTTGTGGTGACTTTAATGAAACATTATGAGTCTGAACACTGTGGGAGGGAACGAGAGACGCAGGGGTGGGTGGAAAGGTGAGGGAAAGGCAGACTTTCCCATCGTGAGAGGGAAGGAAGTACAAGGAACAGTGAAGAAGAGCCTGGTGCCAATTCCCTTACACCTGAGTAAGGGAAATCAGGTAAGTCTTGGTGGCAAATTAGATGATAATAATAATAATCTTTGAACAGCAGAGCTAGAAGGGACCCTATGGGATCATTCAGTCGAGCCCCATCAAGGAGGTGCTGAGGGGGAATTGAACTCCCAACCTTTGGCTTCGCAGCCAGAGGCCTAAACCCCTGCGCTATCCAAATTGCTGTCCGTTACTGAATTACCGGTTGCGTTCCTGGCCATGCCTCTGATTGGGCTCCTGCCCAAGAACGCAGCCAGGCACCACATTCATGAGCACCAATGGAAGACAAGAAGCATCCTATGAATGTGTGGCAATTTGCCACCACGAGTTCTCCTTGGCAGGCGCACATCGGTAATAGGCGTCTGGGAGGTATAAAACTGAGTAGAAAGTAGGGGTGGATGCGGAGAGCTGAGGGTGGGGGCTGACAGTTCCCATGGTTGGCAAGCAGAGGAGCAGGTCCTGGAGGCAGACATGGAGGGAGGCCATCACAGGATGGCGAGAGGTTCTCTCTGGATCTGTTTCCACCATGTCAGACAGAGGTGTGGCAGCTGGCTGGGCTGCTCCTTCATGGACATCAGCAGGGCCCTGATCCAAAGGCAACTCGTCCCCGTGGGTCAGTTGCTGAGGAGCATCCGTGGGAGGGTGGTGGGGCCTTGCTCTCCTGCTCATGAGCTCTCTGGAGGCACCTGCATAGCCTCCGTGGGAACAAAATGCTAGTTTAGAGAACCTTTTGCTGTGGGATAGACCCACAGAACTGGATGTTGGGAAGTAACCCCCCCCCCAGTTGACTTTCCGACTGTGAATTTGGAAGACCAACCCTCTGCCGTTGCAAGAAATCCACAATAAAGCATTAGTGACAGGCGACAACCCAACTTCTGCTCAGGAGCATCCAACGAAGCACAATCCATGTTCCCATCCTCATGGAGACCACCGTTTGACCATCAGCCCCTCCTGAGTGGGACTCATCAAGGGGAGATCTTAGGAAGGCTGATGTTTATGATGTCTTTGCTTTGGGGCATTTCCGTGTGCCTGACATGACTGCTGTGCAGAGGTCTTCAACATTGCTGCCATTTTGGGAAGGAAGGGAGATCCCTCAGCTTTTTATCTTTCGAGGATACCTCTCTCTCTTTTTTTAGGAGCCTCAGGACAAATTCTCCCTCTTCATCCCCTCCCAGAAGAGTTCCTAGCAGGTTCTGAATTCCCGTGCAGGGCCAGCTTTCGGCTTGGGCCAGGGGCCAAAAACACAAGGCAGGTTTGGAATGATGTCAAACGTTTCATCTCAGCGAGAGAAGGCCCAGCAAGGAACAATCTGGAGAGCAAAGCAAGGTCTTGTCCATGAATGGCTGGGATCTCTCTGGAGCTCAGAATGGGGAGATCAATGCGATTCATTGATAGTTTGCAAAAACACTTTAAAACAATCAGAACAGGAAAATTCAAGCTCCTCGTGTCTTGTAAACCTTGCTTTTTCTGTGTTCCAAAATAACAGGAACAGATTCCTAGAGCCCCAAGGGGCACGTCCAGAGTCATTTATGTCACTCGTTAATGGCCGAGAACAAATGCCCAGCTGCCTTTGGCTCTTTCTTCCAATTTAATTGAATGGTACAGTTTTCTTAATTTAGCTCCGCCACCCCCAGGCTTGTTGCCGGTTGTGTCTGCTTGCCCGTTGCCTCCTCATAGGTTGTCCTACCCATCTGCTCCGGTGGGACCCAACAGGACCTGAACGGATCCACCGTTCAGAGGAAAATTTGTCCCTCCCCCAGAAAACAGCCTCCAGATGGCCCTTGTAGGAACGAATGGATTCATGTTGCATTAAGGAGATTCTGATCGAACTTCCTCAGTGCCGTTGCTCAGAAGAGGGTGGAACTCACCTCCCTTGGGATGGTTAAGAAAAGGTTGGACGCCCCTCCCCATGAGGAACACGTTCCCCGTGGGGCCTTGGGATGGTTAAGAAAAGGTTGGACGCTCCCCCCCCCCGTGAGGAACACGTTCCCCGTGGGTTTCTGCCTTGGCAGGAGGAGGTTGGACTACATGATCCTCCCAACCTCACAATCTTGGGATGGTAGGATTCAGGCCCTTTTAGAGCTCTCCAAGACCTGCCAATGCCTGGAGTGAAAAACCCAGCCGTCCGTCTAGCAACGGAAGGCTCAACCCGCCCTCAAGGTTTCTTCAACAAGCCCTGGAAGGGAGGGAAGCTGTTCTCTGCTGCTTCCCCTCCTTTTCAGTGGATCTTTTTGCTGCGGTCACATCCGTTGGGTCTCGTCTTGCCGACTCTCCCCCAGGAGCTTCATTTTGGACCCTTAGAGATGGCAACCAAAATGTTGCCATCTACCCCACGTCCTCAGAGGAATTGCTCCAGTCAGACAGCAAGTGCGTTTGTAAAATATTCCTCAGGGGAATCTTCTACACTTCAGATTTCCCATCCAGAGGCCATCAGAGCTATGTAATTGTGGATATAGCCATTCCCCTCAAAATCTTGACTTTTTCCAAATTTTAGACTTGGGTGGAAACTCTTGTCTTGGAAGACTCTTGACTCTGTAGAAGCCATTCTAGGGTTGGGCGGCCATCTTTTGCCCTTGACTCATAAACCTTGGCTTTTCACATGTTTTGGAGGCTCCATAAGCAAAATCCAGGACAGTTGAAGGCGAGCGACTGAGACGGGCAGAGATCCGTCCATTGGGAGGGCGCGAGGCTCTTCGGTTGATTCTAGGCCATCTGGGGAAGAGGTAACCAAGAGGGGAGGGGGTGGTCAAGGCTGTGGCTTGGTTCCTTTGCCTTCTTTAGAGCAGCGCAGCCCCCACCTCCCTCTCTCCTCAAGCACGGAGACTCCTCTACTCTCCCCCAAACACCCATCAGCCAAGAATTTGCCTGGGAAGAAAAAGGCCGTCCCACTTGAAGAGCTCTTGGTCAACATATCCGGAGTGTAAGGTTGCAGCTTTGGACATCTGGAAGGATGCTGGCGAGGCTTCGCTGTTACTTATTCATCTTCTCGGTCGTTATTTATTTATCTTCATGTTTGCTGAGTTCCAAGGCATCTTTTCAAGACATCGTGCTCCTCTTCTTCCTGTGGAGATGCAGGAGTTCTTCATCAGCCCCCTTCTTTCCATAGGAGGGAATGGGTGCGGGTCATGTCAGGATGGGACCAGGAGGCAGCGGAAGTGAACTCTGCCCCCTTGAATCCAGTGACCTCACTCCACCCGGGCTGTATAGGTCCGAGGATGCCATACTCTCACATTGCAGCCATAACTTGTCCCTGGAATTGTGCGTGCCTTTGGTACCTGTGGGGTTTTTGTGTGTGCGTTTCGGTTCTCAAGAAAACACTCTGCTATTTTCGATGGGGGACAGTATGTGCAGCCAACTAAGAGGGTTGCAAAAATCAAGTTTCTTCTCGTTGCCTCGACCTGATTGGAAGGATGCGGCTGTCCTTGAGCGGCATTCGGGAAGGTTAAGCCCCTGTCGAGGCAGGAGGGGGCCTGCTCTCCTATGGCAACAGAATCAGCAAGTTTTAAATCTCAGCCGTGTGACTGCTTTTCCCCCTTATTGCCTCATTAAGACCGCCAGCTGGTTTTCTTTGAAGACTAGCGGGGAATTAGCTGGCATGCAGCTCTAGGCTGGGTCTCAGCTGTGCGATGCCAGAACATAAAAGTCGGAGTGTTTCTGGGCGGACACAGAATCATAGATCTATAGGACTGGGCCCCTAAGGATCATCTAGTCTGACCCCCACCTGCATGTCCAGAAATCTACTGCTCAGGAAGAGGACCACCCAAACTTCCTTTAAAAGCCTCTAATGGAAGAGTGCCCACTCCTTTTGAGGCAACTTGTGTTGTTAGGTAGCTCTTACTTTCTGGAAATCCTTCCCACCATTTAGCTGGAATCTCCTTTCTTGGACCCATTTAGTTCAGATCCCAACATCTGGAGACGATGCCTGCTTCTCCTTGAGAGCTTTTCTCTGTAGGCGATTCACCCTCAGGCAGCAGGATGGGACCTTTAGACCTCCAGAGTCATGTTTGCTTGCAGAATTGGATTTACACAGAATTAAAGATCTATAAAGCAGGTGTCTCAAGACATTCCCGCTCGAAGAACTGTGAGCAGTCGCCAGAACCCTGTTGGGGTTTTACACCAGAGGAAGTGAAGCCACACAAATCACCGTGGCAAATGACAGTGAAGTAATAAGGTGCAGATCAAATGTCTGGTCCTGTAACCAGCATGTGGCCAAGCATGCAACCAGCGCCATTTTAATGAGTCCAAATTGGCTGTCGTAACTTACATCGTTTCACCTACTCTGGGATAAAATCCCAACAGGTTTCTGGCTGTTGTTTACAGAGAATTCTCTGTTGTAGAACTTTTTCACCCCAGTTTTCACACAAAAAATAACTGAGACAGTAGGCCGAGAAATTTACTGCTGTTTTCCCTCTGATATGTATTTTTGGCATGGCTGATGTAATGCACTAG